GGACGTCGGACATGGAGGTTCCATCTGTTTCATTGATAACACGTGGACGTCGGACATGCAGGTTCCATCTGTTTCATTGATAACACGTGGACGTCGGACATGCACCATCTGTTTCATTGATAACACGTGGACGTCGGACATGGAGGTTCCATCTGTTTCATTGATAACACGTGGACGTCGGACATGGAGGTTCCATCTGTTTCATTGATAACACGTGGACGTCGGACATGGAGGTTCCATCTGTTTCATTGATAACACGTGGACGTCGGACATGTGGTTCCATCTGTTTCATTGATAACACGTGGACGTCGGACATGGAGGTTCCATCTGTTTCATTGATAACACGTGGATGTCGGACATGCAGGTTCCATCTGTTTCATTGATAACACGTGGACGTCGGACATGGAAGGTTCCATCTGTTTCATTGATAACACGTGGACGTCGGACATGTAGGTTCCATCTGTTTCATTGATAACACGTGGACGTCGGACATGCAGGTTCCATCTGTTTCATTGATAACACGTGGACGTCGGACATGTATGGTTCCATCTGTTTCATTGATAACACGTGGACGTCGGACATGGAGGTTCCATCTGTTTCATTGATAACACATGGACGTCGGACATGGAGGTTCCATCTGTTTCATTGATAACACGTGGACGTCGGACATGGAGGTTCCATCTGTTTCATTGATAACACGTGGACGTCGGACATGGAGGTTCCATCTGTTTCATTGATAACACGTGGACGTCGGACATGTAGGATCCATCGATTTCAATAATAACACTTTGATGTCGGACATGGAGGTTCCATCTGTTTCATTGATAACACGTGGACGTCGGACATGGAGGTTCCATCTGTTTCATTGATAACACGTGGACGTCGGACATGGAGGTTCCATCTGTTTCATTGATAACACATGGAGGTCGGACATGTAGGTTCCATCTGTTTCATTGATAACACGTGGACGTCGGACATGGAGGTTCCATCTGTTTCATTGATAACACGTGGACGTCGGACATGTAGGATCCATCGATTTCAATAATAACACTTTGATGTCGGACATGGAGGTTCCATCTGTTTCATTGATAACACGTGGACGTCGGACATGGAGGTTCCATCTGTTTCATTGATAACACATGGAGGTCGGAGATGTAGGTTCCATCTCTTTCACTTGATAACACGTCGACATCGGACATGCAGGTTACATGTGTTTCATTGATAACACGTGGACGTCGGACATGTAGGATCCATCGATTTCAATAATAACACTTTGACGTCGGACATGGAGGTTCCATCTGTTTCATTGATAACACGTGGACGTCGGACATGTAGGTTCCATCTGTTTCATTGATAACACGTGGACGTCGGACATGGAGGTTCCATCTGTTTCATTGATAACACGTGGACGTCGGACATGCAGGTTCCATCTGTTTCACTGATAACACGTGGACGTCGGACATGGAGGTTCCATCTGTTTCATTGATAACACGTGGACGTCGGACATGGAGGTTCCATCTGTTTCATTGATAACACGTGGACGTCGGACATGTAGGTTCCATCTGTTTCATTGATAACACGTGGACGTCGGACATGGAGGTTCCATCTGTTTCATTGATAACACGTGGACGTCGGACATGGAGGTTCCATCTGTTTCATTGATAACACGTGGAGGTCATACATGCAGGTTCCATCTGTTTCATTGATAACACGTGGACGTCGGACATGTAGGTTCCATCTGTTTCATTGATAACACATGGACGTCGGACATGGAGGTTCCATCTGTTTCATTGATAACACGTGGACGTCGGACATGCAGGTTCCATCTGTTTCATTGATAACACGTTGACGTCGGACATGTAGGATCCATCGATTTCAATAATAACACTTTGACGTCGGACATGAAGGTTCCATCTGTTTCATTGATAACACATGGACGTCGGACATGGAGGTTCCATCTGTTTCACTGATAACACGTGGACGTCGGACATGGAGGTTCCAACTGTTTCATTGATAACACGTGGACGTAGGACATGGAGGTTCCATCTGTTTCATTGATAACACGTGGACGTCGGACATGTAGGATCCATCGATTTCAATAATAACAGTTTGATGTCGGACATGGAGGTTCCATCTGTTTCATTGATAACACACGTGGACGTCGGACATGGAGGTTCCATCTGTTTCACTTGATAACACATGGAGGTGGGACATGTAGGTTCATCTGTTTCATTGATAACACATTGAGGTGGGACATGTAGGTTCCATCTGTTTCATTGATAACACATGGATGTCGGACATGGAGGTTCTATCTGTTTCATTGATAACATGTGGACGTCGGACATGTAGGATCCATCGATTTCAATAATAACACTTTGATGTCGGACATGGAGGTTCCATCTGTTTCATTGATAACACTTGGACGTCGGACATGGAGGTTCCATCTGTTTCATTGATAACACATGGAGGTCGGAGATGTAGGTTCCATCTCTTTCACTAGATAACACGTCGACATCGGACATGCAGGTTACATGTGTTTCATTGATAAGACGTGGACGTCGGACATGTAGGATCCATCGATTTTAATAATAACACTTTGACGTCGGACATGGAGGTTCCATCTGTTTTATTGATAACACATGGAGGTCGGAGATGTAGGTTTCATCTGTTTCATTGATAACAGGTGGACGTCGGACATGGAGGTTCCATCTGTTTAATTGATAACACGTGGAGGTCAGACATGCAGGTTCCATCTGTTTCACTGATAACACGTGGACGTCGGACATGGAGGTTCCATCTGTTTCATTGATAACACGTGGACGTCGGACATGGAGGTTCCATCTGTTTCATTGATAACACGTGGACGTCGGACATGTAGGTTCAAATTGTTTCATTGATAACATGTGGATGTCGGACATGGAGGTTCCATCTGTTTCATTGATAATACGTGGACGTCGGACATGGAGGTTCCATCTGTTTTATTGATAACACGTGGATGTCATACATGCAGGTTCCATCTGTTTCATTGATAACACGTGGACGTCGCACATGTAGGTTCCAAATGTTTCATTGATAACACATGGAGGTGGGACATCTAGGTTCCATCTGTTTCATTGATAACACTTGGACGTCGGACATGCAGGTTCCATCTGTTTAATTGATAACACGTTGACGTCGGACATGTATGATCAAACGATTTCAATAATAACACTTTGACGTCGGACATGAAGGTTCCATCTGTTTCATTGATAACACATGGACGTCGGACATGGAGGTTTCATCTGTTTCACTGATAACACGAGGACGTCGGACATGGAGGTTCCAACTGTTTCATTGATAACCAGTGGACGTCGGACATGTAGGTTCCACCTGTTTCACTGATAACACGTGGACGTCGTACATGGAGGTTCCATCCGTTTCATTGATAACCAATGGACGTCGGACATGTAGGTTCCATCCGTTTCATTGATAACACGTGGATGTCGGACATGTAGGATCCATCGATTTCAATAATAACACTTTGATGTCGGACATGTACGTTCCATCTGTTTCATTGATAACACGTGGACGTCGGACATGGAGGTTACATCTGTTTAATTGATAACACGTTGAGGTCAGACATGCAGGTTCCATCTGTTTTATTGATAAAACGTGGACGTCGGATATGCAGGTTCCATCTGTTTCATTGTTAACACGTGGATGTCGGACATGGAGGTTCCATCTGTTTCATTGATAAAACGTGGACGTCGGACATGTAGGTTCCATAGGTTTCATTGATAACACGTGGACGTCGGACATGCAGGTTCCACATGTTTCATTGATAACACATGAACATCGGACTTGGAGGTTCCATCTGTATCACTGATAACACGTGGACGTCGGACATGCAGGTTCCATCTGTTTAATTGATAACACGTGGACGTCGGAAATGTAGGTTCCATCTGTTTCATTGATCACACGTTGACGTCGGACATGGAGGTTCCATCTGTTTAATTGATAACACGTGGAGGTCAGACATGCAGGTTCCATCTGTTTTATTGATAACACATGGACGTCGGACATGCGGATTCCATCTGTATCACTGATAACACGTGGACGTCGGACATGGAGGTTCCATCTGTTCCATTGATAAGACATGGAGGTCTGACATGGAGGTTCCATCTGATTCATTGATAACACGTGGACGCCGGACATGGAGGTTCCACACGTTTCATTGATAACACGTGGACGTCGGACATGGAGGTTCCATCTGTTTCATTGATAACGCTTGGACGTCGGACATGCAGGTTCCGTCTTTTCATTGAAAACACGTGGACGTAGGACATGCAGGTTCCATCCGTTTCATTGATAACACGTGGACGTCGGACATGCAGGTTCCAACTGTTTCATTGATAACATGTTGAGGTCAGACATGCAGGTTCCATCTGTTTTATTGATTACTCGTGGATGTCGGACATGCAGGTTCCATCTGTTTCATTCATAACACATGGAGGTGGGACATGTAGGTTCAATATGTTTTATTGATAACACGAGGACATCGGACATGCAGGTTCCATCTGTTTCATTCATAACACGTGGACGTCGGACATGTAGGATCCATCTATTTGAATGATAACACGTTGACGTCGGACGTGGAGGTTCCATCTGTTTCATTGATAACACATGGACGTTAGACATGCAGGTTTCATCTGTTTCATTGATAACACATGGAGGTCGGACATGGAGGTTCCATCGGTTTCATTGATAACACGTTGACGTCGGACATGAAGGCTCCTTCTGTTTTATTGATAACACGTGGACGTAGGATATGCACGTTCCATCTGTTTCATTGATTACGAATCTAAAGTCTTACAACTCACTACAGAAAACTCCTCCAGAAATTTCCAGATTTTATATTTTTTCATTATTTTTGCATGGCATGTTTTGGAATAGTTTAACATTGTATTAACACTGCATCTGTATCAGGTGAATGGGCCAAGATATCAAGTGCGTTGCCTTACCTCCTTTCTCCACATGGCACACCATCAGTACAACGCCAAAGCTGAAGATGGTGTTTAAGAACATCTCAGTGTTTCTGAAAAAACAAAACAACCGGAAAAATAACTTACAATAAGTATAACAATATATACGTTTTAAAGGTCAGTACAGTACACACAACAGTTATGATTGTGCGAGGTTGGTATCCCTAGTCGAGGCAGCTTATTGCAGTCAGTTTAGTTGCCTTGCATACAAATAAATGTAATAGTCGAAAATAGAAGGGGCAAATAATATATTGCATTTTGAACGAAAAGGTCACATCGTTTTTTTGCAGATGTTGTCCTTACTTAGCGAGTTTAATTAAAATCCATTCAAATCCCATGGATAATTATACTGTTTGCAACCATCCTGCAGGATGAATGACGTCTAGAGACGCAATCACTGATGTAATAACCTCATATAATATTAGTATCTACGCGTTTTCAGTTTATACTCATTTGGGCATACTTGCACATCTTGAATATCAAGACAGATAGAGTGATTGAGTCGACAGGATTTCTATGCACTGTAACTTAGGGAGTGTGCAAATCAGTTAATTACAGAAATAAGGCATCGACTAAGTGTAATGGCTGAATCTGAAACTGGAAATACTCTGTATCAACAGAACATGTTGGCAGTGTTTTGTAAGGGTGTATCAACAAGGAAAGATGAAAGGTGTGCAGTAACCAAATTACAAAGGATAAATAATAGGTCATAACCTAGCATATCATGTTCAAGACGTGATCTGTAGAGCCTGAGTTAAAAATGATATCAGAACAACTGCCAATCTGAAATGTTCAGCACACTGAGATGTTTCACAGTAAATTTCGAACTTTAACCTGTCCATGTTCACGTGCAAAACATGAAAACATGGGGGGGCTGATGTGTGTGTGTGTAGTCGGCGTCTATACTACAGCTGAGTATGTTGGTATGTTGGTATATCCATCAAGCATCACTTTATCACATCGATTTGACATGGAGGAAAGTATTTGCAGACGTGATGATTTCTCAGTTCATTCTGAAAATTACAGAGCATACAGAAGTACAGGAGATGGAGACTGTCTGTATAATTCAGCCTCCTTATATCTCTGTGGCAATGAATCTCTTTCCAAATGTCTTCGCATTTTAGATAGTGCAGAACTTTATTTGAAACGGGGGCCTTATACTCTCTCTAGTCCCAACTATCACCAGCATGATGTCAAGGTGCAAAGGCCAAGGAGATGGAGCTTATATAAACTTGTTGCTTTCAGATGAGGGTTGGAGAATATTTGATGAATCAAAGGATTTGGAGAGAGCAATATTATTTGAAGCTCAAAAGAACTGCCGTGACAAGCAATGGTGCTCATTTCTACATATGTGTGCATTAGGAGAGGTGCTGAAGGAGTACTGTGAGATTGTGTCTTTATACTCTGATGTCCAATATGCACTGAGGTCAGTTTTGAATGGAACTTTAATTAGTTCAGAACCTCGTAGTATGTACATCTGTACATTTTATGGACTCGAGCCAGCATGCTTGACAACAGACCTGGAGCTATCTCCCAGCCAAATCAGTTTGTACACTTTTTCATTTGCTTGTAAGTACAAAATAAAGCAGTGGTAAGTAGATGAACAACATGTTGAGAAAAGGAGAAAGAAAAGCGAGGTGTCAAGAAACATTCAACTGCCCAGCAAGGAAAAGATAGTGAAAATGAATCAATGAATGAAAACACTTGCACACCATCTGTTTCTGATTTCAATGCCAGTGAAGACTCAAAGGAATCAATCAAAGGTGACTCATTTAAAAGTGCAAAGTATTTTGATGCAAAGGAAACAAACATTCCAGATGTTGGTAACCAACCACACCAACCACAGAAACTATTTCCTAAACGTAAGAATGGTACTCACAAGAGAACATACCAGACTGGGTGGTTCCAGAAATGGAAGTGACTTCATTATGATGAACACTCAGATAGGGTCTTTTGTTTCATTTGCATAAAAGCAATCAAAGAAAATAAACCCTCAAACCCTTGCACAGAGAAAGCTTTCATTTTTGACGAATACAACAACTGGAAGAAGGTTACTGAGAAATTTGAGAAACATAAAAAGAGTAAAAGTCATCAAGAAGCAGTTGAAAGAGTAATTGTATTGCCTCTGCATACAAAAGACATTGGTGATTCGGTGTCAACAGAGTTTGACGAAGCTTGAAAGGAAAACAGCCAATGTCTTCTAAAAATCCTGTCATGTCTACAGTTTCTTGCTCGTCAAGGACTAGCTCTCAGAGGTGACAAAACTGAGACTGATTCAAACTTTCTTCAGTTACTTGTCTTCCAAGCCAAAGATGATCCCATTCTGAGTAATTGGTTGAAAAGGAAAACAGATAGGTATACTTCGCCTGAGATACAAAATCTCCTTCTTGATATTATGGCAAACACAGTCTTGCGAGAGGTGATACAACCTATTCACGAAAGTACGTTCTTTTCAACAATGGCAGATGAATGTGCTGATGTGTCTGATAAAGAGCAACTTGTAGTCTGCATCAGATGGATTTATGAAAACTTTGAGGGACATGAAGAATTTGTTGGATTCTACGAGGTTGCTAACATTGAAGCTTAAACCATATTTGAGGCAATCAATGATGTACTCCGGGGGTTGAATTTGAATTGGTCTCAAGTTAGAGGACAATGTTATGAGATGGCTGCAAATATGGAACTGGGCCAGTTCTACCAAGCACGAAACGGCCACCCAAGAGAATAGAGCACCTGGAGCACCTCACCATGTACCTCAGACAGTAGAGGAGTATTACAGACAAGTGTATTTCATGACTCTAGACTTGGGCAGCAGCTGCATCAGATACAGGTTTAATTAACCTGGCCATATGCTCTACCAGAACCTGGAGACTCTACTCCTCAATGCTGCTGCAGGAAAAGACTACAAATGCGAATTTGACTTTGTTTCCAAAATGACACCTGGCTATATGCTCTACCAGAACCTGGAGACTCTACTCCTTCATGCTGCTGCAGGAAAAGACTACACAAGCGAATTTGACTTTGTTTCCCCCCACCACACACACACACACTTCTGAATAGGTGCTACGGGCCCGCAAGGACACGCGGACACGATCATTGGCCCTAGTGCATTGTCCCTGTTGTAGCGCCAATTTAACTGTTCATGTACAATATGCATTGGCGTTAATGTTGGCGTAGTGACCATCCTCATGGCATTGCATACCCACCCCGCATTCCATATTTGGTCAGTCATATTACTATAAGGCAATAGTATCGTGTCTATTGGTTACTGTGGACAATACAATCGACAATTAATACTAAAAGTTCTTTTGAGGTGAGGTGAGGTGAAATTGGGTTTCACGTCGTGCTTGAGAATATTTCGCTCATATGACGACGTGCATGCGTGTGTATGTGTATGTGCGGCTGCTTTTACTAGCCCAGACTGAAGCTGGTTTTATAGTGCTAGGCCACTGAGATACCACGCCGCAGTGAAGCATGAATACCCCACTCAGACACACTATACTGACTCCGAGCCGACCAGTCCTTGTTGTACCCATTAATGCCGAGCGCCAGGCAGGGACCAACAAGTACCATATTTTAACGTCTCTAATGGTATGACGCGGTCGGGGATCGAACCCGCAACCTTCCGGGTTCTTTTGAACTTTCATTGAACTGTCAGAATAACCTCTGCAAACGTGCACGAAGGCATTGCATGGTTCACGAGGAATATGACTAGGTTGTGGGGTTTTGGTTCCCAAACCGTTCACAGCTGACAGTCATTTTCCAAGTTGATTTGACGAACGTTTGAAAATGACTGAAGACCACATTGAAGATAATGTTTTGAATTGGCGGGGTTCGAACCCCCCATTCCCCCTTGAAAATTCCTGGATCCCCGCCTACGCCTTTGGTGGTCGTAAGAGGTAGTCATGCACACTGACTTCGTACCCCAAACGGTGGGACGCATTGCTCAGAACATAGATCACTGCATTGTATGGTCCAGAGTCGATTGCTATGAGGGATGATAAGCAACAAAGGGGCAAAGAATAAAAGATAAATATATGGAAACGATTCGGTGTACATCAGCTTGAGACATGTAATGGTGTACGAGGAAAGTGTATGTGTCTACTTACCAAGTTCTGCCGAATAGATGTTCCAGGTGCTAGGCCGAAATCTGAACTGGGTAGTTGCAGCCTCCTTCAGAGATGTGAAGAGACTGATGGTTGTATGAGGCAAGGAGCTTACATACGTATTACCCCGCCAGTAAGATTCGCCGAAGTTTCTCGTTATGCATCAGCGCTCTTGATGAGTGAGACAGCTTCAAAATAGGTGTGTATATAAGCTAACAAAAGACATTCTTACTTGATATATATAGAACAAATTTATACAAAATGTGTTTCGTCACGCTGTGTAATCACTAAATGCATATGAGCACTTTTGCCAGTCCGTTCTGTAAGTCCCATAAACGACCCACAGCAATATGAAAACAACGATGCAGGAATCAAGGTCTTAACTAACGGCCTGGAACATATCAAATACTGATTTGACATATTTACATCGTAATAACTGTATACCTTAACATGCCGCCGCCGCACGACAGTAGGACTACAGTGCGATGTTAAGAAACAAACACTGCTTCTACCAATCACTTAGTCAAGCAGTAAACCTGATGATCTGTTAAATCGTGTGCGCTGAGATAATGTTTTACTTTAAAATTTTGGTCTGTGTAATAAACTGTAAATATACACATATATAGCTTATTGCTTAATTCATATTTGGGCTATAAAAATAATATGATTATAACCCATGTCTTAAATTGTAAACTATATTGTAATGCTATAACCTGTGTATATAGTTGTTTACTTTTGTGACTTCTGTGTGTATATTGTACATACATATATGGTTAAGATATCTGTATGGTAATTCGACATTCCATGTCATCGTTATAAAGTGTTTCAATATTAAATTGTTTAATATTCGATTTTTTAATAGTTTTTTTTGGCTTCATTTAACATATTTGGCATTCACGGCATACGTCTCTTTGCAGTCATTGTTTAAGTTAATTACTTTATGCCTGCAAAAATATTCCTCAATGCAGAACCTTTTCTATCAAAGAGGCGTGAAACGAGGTTAAAGTCCGCATGTCTACCATAAAACTTCTTGAAAGATTTACTGAGGTCTTGGATGTTGTAAATGTCATCAAACAACTTCTGAGCAAGAATGGTAGGACGGTCTTTGAAATCCTGATAAACAGAGCACTCATGATCGTACATCGTAAATTATAGGATATTTATATAGCGCACATATCCACGCAACTAGTACATATTCAAGGCGCTGGGTTATTTCACCTCGATCATTGGATCAATCTCAACGGCACAATATATTATCAATCTCAACTCCCTTGGGATCATACAACTCTTGCAGACACTAGGCGCACCAAGTTATTGCGGCTTTCCCATCCTTACGAGGCACACTAAATGATGATATGAGAAACACAATTGAAAGGGATATTGATTTAGATGAAATAACCTCTGCAGTCAGAAATATGAACAATAACAAAAGGTTCAGGAATTGAGGGCTTTCCAATAGATTTTTTTCAGCTTTTTTTCTGGAAAGAATTAAACGTTTGAATTTTCAGATTTATTTAAAAAGTCTCAACTAAAAGGAAATTGTCTTTGGCCATGAAAAGGGGAGTTATAACTTGTATCCCTAAACCAACTAAAGATAGATCTTTTCTAAACAATTGGAGGCCAATACCTCTCCTAAATGCCCTTTATAAGATAATCAGCACTTGTATTACAAACCGGTTAAAGAAAACATAGGACTCACTTATTCATGGTAATCAAACTGGATTTATTCCAGGCAGAATATTATTGAAAACACAGGACTACTATATGAAATCATGTTTGAAACCAAAAAAAGAAATATCCCAAGTTTATTATTTTTGATTAAATTCGAAAAGGCATTTGATACTGTCTCAAAAAGTTTTATTGATTTAGTATTGGAAAAAATTGGTTTGGGCCCTCAACTAAGGAGCTAGACAGACCTCTTAACTTTAGACACAACATCCTGTGTAGTTCAAAATGGCCATTTATCATACTTTTTTACAAATGAAAGTTGGTGCAGACAAGGGGACCCCATATCCCCTTACCTATTTCTCTTTGTAGCTGAAGTTTTAGGTTGATGATAAGAGCAAATAAGGACATAAAAGCAATTACTATAGATGATAAAGAATACAAACTTGGACAATATGCTGATGACACAGAATTACTGTTAAGAATTACTGTATGCTGCTATCAATACATTGAATACCTTTTACAAGAGGTCGGGTCTTAAGATAAATATTGATAAAACTAAAGCAATCAAGATAGGAACAAAAGCGGCTAGTGATGAAAGATTATGTAATGATATAAAAAAAGAATGGCACAGACATCAATTTGAGGTATTAGGTATCAAATTTACTTAAACACTATGTGACTTATGGGTGATTAATACTAGAAAAAGGCTTGAAGAAACTAATAGACTTCTGGCAGTCTGGAGAAAAAGGCATTTAACATTAATAGGAAAGATTACAGTTATCAAAACATTAACAGTTTCAATATTAGTACATGTTTTTAACACATTTCCCAATCCACCCAACACTTTTATTACTTCACTTGAAAGAATATTCTTTAAATTTATTTGAAATGGCAAAAACGATAAAATCAATAGAGAAATTATGAAAAGATGAAAAAAATTGGGTGGGCTACGTATGATTGATATACAAACGTTTATTGAAGCTTTAAAAATCTTCACTTTGAGATTACATTGTAGAATAATCACTGCAGATAATCCATGTATTATACCCTTCAATGATTTATTCAACGTTTTTGATATCAAAACCCTTATTGGATTAATGTTCTAAAGGCATGGGCTAAATATTGTAAGAAGACTGATGTTGATGCAGATAACATTGATGATATCCTAGCCCAGCCTTATGGTTTAATCACAGATTAAAAGATACTCATGACTTCATAAAACACTGGGATGAGAAAGGAATCTTAACTATTGAAGATATATGTGATAAATCTGGAATAATGCCTTTTGTAACATTAAAACATATATATGGTATAGGAGGAACAATGTAGAATTACAATTATGTTATACACATCTTGCCTATATCCTGGAAACAAACTATTAGAAACAACAGGGCGATACCTATCAACAATATGAACATTACCATTTGTAACAAAAGCCTCATTACAGTTATAAAAGGATCAAGACTTTTTTATGATATACTTTTTCTGATGACAGTAAACTTAAGGTATGTTCGAAATGGGAAACACGTTTTCATTGTGACTTTGAATGGCATAAGATATTCAGTATTTATAGACATAGTTTAAAAGATTTTAAACTTCTTAATTTTCAGTTTATATTCTTACATGGAATAATATATTCCAAAAGGGAGCTTTTGAAAATGAAACTAATAGATTCTGACATATGCAGTTTTTGTAATGACCTACAAGAAACAATCTGTAATGTATACTGGAATTGTAAGGAAACCAAGACATTTTGGAATGAGCTTAAGATCTGGATCAATAAATACCTCAACAAAGAAATCATAATAACAAAATATCTGTTTTGATTTGGTACTTCACAATTCAACAAAATACTAAACCATATAATTTTCTCTGCAAAGAGACATATTTATTTATGTAATATCAAAAAACAAAACAAAACAATTCCCAATTTAATTAACTATCTGAAAACCTTAGATTTCATCTTTCTTGCAGAAGTAAAATATTTCCAAAAGAAACAATGACATGGAAAATTTTGAAAAAAAAAAGTTTTCCTCTCATCCCATATCTCAATCAAGTATTGTACTCACCTCATTTCGACCTCGTTATGAACCAAGAGTCACCACCCGAACAAACAATGGCTGCACCTGAGTCTTATGGTGGCTGATTAGGGCCATCGCTTTCTCGCCTTAAAATTCGGAGGCGAGAAAGCGAGAAAGCGATATCACGAGACGAGAAAGCGATATCACGAGACGAGAAAGCGATAGCACGAGACGAGAAAGCGATAACACGAGACGAGAAAGCGATAGCACGAGACGAGAAAACGATACCATTACGCGAGAAAGCGATAGAGCGAGAAAGCGAGAAAGCGAGAAAGCGATAAAGCGAGAAAGCGATAGAGCGAGAAAGCGATATACCAAGGCGAGAAAGCGATAGAGCGAAAAAGAGATATACCAAGGCGAGAAAGTATGGTGGCTGATTAGGGCCATCGCTTTCTCGCCTTAAAATTCGGAGGCGAGAAAGCGAGAAAGCGATATCACGAGACGAGAAAGCGATAACACGAGACGAGAAAGCGATAGCACGAGATGAGAAAGCGATAGCACCAGACGAGAAAGCGATAGCGCGAGACGAGAAAGCGATAACGCGAGACGAGAAAGCGATAACACGAGACGAGAAAGCGATAGCACGAGACGAGAAAGCGATACCATTACACGAGAAAGCGATACAGTGAGAAAGCGATAAAGCGATAGAGCGAGAAAGCGATATACCAAGGCGAGAAAGCGATAGAGCGAAAAAGCGATATACCAAGGCGAGAAAGCGATAGAGCGATATAGTGAGAAAGCGATAGAGCGAGAAAGCGAGAAAGCGATAGAGCGATAGAGCGAGAAAGCGATAGAGCGAGAAAGCGATAGAGCGATATAGCGAGAAAGCGATAGAGCGAGAAAGCGAGAAAGCGATAGAGCGAGAAAGCGATATTTCACATAATTCTGCCCTGTCTGCACATGACGTCTAACCTGCGTATGATTTAATCCAACAGGAGGCTTTATTTTCAATTGGTTTAGTCGTATAGAAACAACATGAACATGCTTTCAAATTCTGTGGCACTTTTCTAATTAATCCTTTAACTTGTCCAAACAATAATCCAACAATAACTCCAGAAACCGAGTGTGTTTTCGTTGAAATAAATGAGTGCTCTTAAAAAGTCTGTAAAAAGGATACCAATCATTTAATTTATTGTTACATCACTTATTAGACCTGGATTAATTCCTGGCTTGCATTTCTTTATTGTCATTTCCCTTGTTAAATGCCACCATTGTTATCTCATTATTCATACCGGAATTAACAATCCCTGGCTTCCATTTGTCCATCCACCCTACCAATTTAGCGCTAATTAAGTACTGGCTTCCCTTGTTATCTTATCACTGTTGTTTCAAATGTACGTCTTTAGCTTTCTGTTTCCTAGTTTCTAGTCTCTTCATTCACCTGATGAAGGATAAGAATATACTCCGTAACATCGTGTTCCAGTGCGGTGTTAAACAACAAACCAACCAAATGAACTCCTCGTCGGGCTTTATTGCTTCAGTGATGGAATTTTTATACACCCTGTGCCTTTCATCTGGTCTTTTTATGTGTGCCTATTTCACACATACATATTTCTACTTTTATGTGAAAAAGGTTTTGTTCTAAATGTATGTGCCATCGTCTTCCATACTTCTACAAGAATGGCTTGTCTACATACTTATATGTCTGTCTGTCCCCATATCCCAGCTATCTACTTGAGACAGAGCCACAAGTCATCGACCGACGTGATAGGTGTTTAACAAAAACGTAATATAATTATTACTTGGGGAATAAAGTACTATATCATATCATACACCTGTATATTGAAAATAATTTAGTTTAGATGGGGAGTTGAGAAGTTGGACGTAAGAGGGTTGGGAACTTGATTGCGTATAAGTTCAACTAAGTAAGTAATGTAAAGTATATTGTGACTTATTGGTTGTGAAACGTGCGGTGTGTGGCCTTGACATTGTGAGTTAGTCTGGATAATCGAGTTTAAACTGTAACGTGTGGCTGGATAGGGATGTTTTAAAGGGTTTATTCTGAATTTAAGGGTGTTTTTGTTTGTTTGGTGTTTTGATATTTTGTTTTCAGACCCAGTATAGTAGTTATTGAGTAATTTGGTTTCTTCTAGTAACTACTATCTAGTAGGTACTAGTCTTTGCACCTGTGGCTTTTTTTATATATTGTAAGTAGTTTTAATTGGGGATAGAGAAGGACGGGAGCGACTCACTCCAGTGTGTACATGATAAATGTTTTGTAGATGTGTAGGAGGGTTTATTTGGCTGCAGTGACCTCAATGCTCACAATATGAAACATACATTTTAGAAAGTCCGATATGCTCATGTGGACTAGCAAATGAGGACAATTTTCACTTTTTCTTTACTTGTCCAATATATACTGTAACTCGAAATAACATGTACTTTTACCAAAAAAGATATACATTAGACTCAGTATTATTCGGAAATGTCCATGCAACTGCACCTGTAAATATGCAGATTCTTGAATCTGTTCATTTATATATCGTAAAGTCAGGCAGATTTGACGCCCTATTCTCAAGATAATGATTGTTTACTCTCAACCTATGATGTCGATATACCTCTCTTCTTTTGGACTATGTACAGCGTATACATGACTAACAGCCAAACTATGTAATTGTTATTTGTTTTTGTAAGGGAGAGGTGTTTATATAAGCTTACAGCTTGTTCACCGATCCCTATTCAATTTCATTTGAATAAAAATATGTATAACCATTTGTCTGCATCCCAGTGAATGTCACCTATTGCTCTCATTCTATTTCAATCGTTTTGACATGAGTTGACCAAGTTATAAACAAGATGATACAGGTAGATAGTTCCATATATTGAACGAGTTTCAAGTCCTCCTCTGGAAACGAAAATGTTACGAAAGGTTAATTGGATACACGCGTCACCAATCAGCTTATCAAAACCTATGCGACCACGTCCAACTGTAGCCCATTTCTTTACTTTTATTCTCAATAGACCACCAATAGTGGTATAAGAGTACATATCGCACACATCAATTATTACATACAGTCAAAATGGCGGCGGAGGGTAACAATATATTGTAAGAAACCAGTTGTTGGTATAACATGTCTATTATCTAACTTTTGTCAGAAGAAAACGTGGGGGAAAAGATGGGTTTTGATAGATATTTTGATGGCAGAACGGGTTTGAAATTGGCGGACCAAAATGTCGCTTACATTATAATAAAGGAGTTGTATATCCATATAACTTTCCCCGTTGTTCAGCACACCAACTTCTAAATGCCATCCAAAGAAGTTCACTATATATAGCTAGACCAGCGTTTAACTGCGTACTATTTTCAGCTTTGACTAGACGAACGTTTGACTGCATCCTTTTATTTGCTTAGATTACACCATTGACTGTGGAATGGTTCAGTTACTACATTGAGGTACCAAGGTGCTTTAATTACTGTCACGCGCGTCTCCTCTATCTTTGGGAAGGAGCGAATTGGGTTCATGTAGGTGAATTACTTCAGTTAATAAATGTCATCGTCTTTATTACTTCAAAGAAACTACAGCTGTATTTTGATCACCCTGAAATACAATAAAGTGACATAAACATAAACGGTTAAGTTCCCATGCCTCATTTCTAATTCCTCCACCTATAACCAAACAGCGAGAACTGATAATTATTTATGAATTGTCTACATACGGCTCATTTATAGTGTCACATACTTCAAAACTCTCTGAATGTGATGTATATGTAATAAACTGAGCTGCAAAAGAAACGCAAGCTCCAATTTGTTTGAAATGTAAGTTGGAATTGAACTGATGGCGTACAATATGGCGTCACAAAACTATCAACAATGAACCTAAAACATGAATATTGCTCTTAGGCGACATATATTTAAATACACACACTCACTCAGTGATTTTATTTTAGGATGATGGTTTGGATGTGGTTGATTGTCTTAGTGCTGGCCACTCATGGTGGAAATCACCATGAAAATATACTCGTCACAATGCCTTATTTGTCATAGGTCCCTCCCGTTCATCTGGCACTTCCGACACATTTGTCACACAACATCATAATTCAAAGAAAACCATAGGAAAGAACCAGTCAGACTAGAAAATTCGGAAACTTTTGGAAGCAGTACACATCAAGAAGATACGATCCGCTCTCAACAGAGATGAAGGATAGTACATTCCCAATGCCTACCATCACTTGATAAAGTAATCAATAATATTTCTTGTGTACATTATCTGTTTCAATTCAACTATGTACATCAAACCCATCTTTTGTATATACAACGACATTAGAACCTATGTCGAAACGTCGCCTCCACAGAATAAAAGAAGTTGTATATCCATAATAATTGTCATTATTCTTCATCAACTCAACATCTAAAATGCCCATCAAAGAAACAATTCAATTGGTTGGTGTGATTAAGTTGGTTAAGACAATTCGAATCCAGTCATGTCATAAAATATGTAATTCCTTAAGTCACATCACAAAATGAACGTTTCCGTTATTTCACGATATGACTATTGCATACGTGCAAATTGCATGTCAAAGGAAAGTCTACATCTCTATTAGATATTCTTTAAACGTCAAGTCATACACCGCCATTCGTGGGCAAGAACATTACTGAAAACCATTTAATACTATCCAGAAATTACGATTGCGACTGAGCTCCCGTTTGTAGTCGATCATGTGCAGACAGCACTGAATTGTGGGTAATATCGCTTTCTCGCTCTATCGCTTTCTCGCTCTATCGCTTTCTCGCGCAATGATATCGCTTTATCGTCTCGTGCTATCGCTTTCTCGTCTCGTGCTATCGCTTTCTCGTCTCGTGTTATCGCTTTCTCGTCTCGCGTTATCGCTTTCTCGTCTCGCGTTATCGCTTTCTCGTCTCGTGCTATTGCTTTCTCGTCTCGTGTTATCGCTTTCCCGTCTCGTGATATCGCTTTTTCGCTTTCTCGCCTCCGAATTTTAAGACGAGAAAGCGATGGCCCTAATCAGCCACCATAGAGTCTTTCATTGACTTGCTGCTGCCACTGAGAATGT